ACCTACCTGCATCATGATGTCCACATACTCCTCATCTGGCAGCAGACACAGGTAGGGGTAGAGGATGTTGTACTTGGACAGCCTCTTGGGCCTGGCCATGCTGCGCTTGGAATTCTGCAGGGCCTGGAGGGTGGCATCGTGCCACTGGGAGCGGAGGGCGCCCAGCAGCTCACGCTGCATGGAAAAGGAAGGAAGGTCAGTGAGAGCTGCCCCTCTTTGGCTTGTGCAGCCTCAGCTCTCACCCACAGGTCCTGAGGGCTGCCCCAGAGCCCTGACTTTACCGCTTTGACAGCCTGTGGGGTCAGGGGCTTGGCTGCCTCCACTGACTCGATGGTCACGGTGTTCTTCAGCTCCATCTCCAGCTGCTGCTGGAAGCGCTCCTGCAACTCCTTCACGGAGAAATCCAGCTTGGGGTACGACACCATCGTCTCCTGCAATGGGACAGAGGCAGTCAGTGCCAAAACTGGGAAGAGGAGAAGCCATGCTCATTCTCCCAGCTTCCCTGCAAGAGGAACAATTGTGGTACAACTGTGGGCTGAAAGCACCTCGCTGGGACCTCTGGATCCAGAGGCTGCTCTGCTCCTGTGCTATGGCCAAGCACCTCCCCAGGCACCCCCTGCCATGCATGGAGCCATCTCCAGCCCCCTGCAAGCCCTCCGCTTTGCTGTTCCCCTGTAAGGGAACAGCCTGTACAGCTGTAAGGCTGTAAGTAATGTCATTCATCTGATGATTTGTGTGGGCTATCGGGCAGAGATCAGGTTATAAGGTTTTTTTCTTGCTAGCCCTCCCCTGGGCTGTACCTAAGAACACCTGTGAATACCATGTGGCCAGCTTCAACACCTCCCTGAGGGCTGTGGCTTACTCTGGAATAGAAGTCCTGGAGCAGAGAAGACTTGCAGATCTTGGGGCTGGGTGGAGGAGGCAGCTGGTAGTTGGGCTGGACAGTCCTGATGGCCCACAGCACCATCTCCTTCTCATCTTCCTCAAACAGGCACTTTTGGAAGAGCTCATCCACATGGAAGCCACTGCTGTTCAGCTGCTGCAGGTATCTGAGGAGGAGCACAGGACAGGCTCGATCTTCCCCAAGGGCCTGAGCGTGTTGTACAGAAGCTGCCTCAGCACAGCCCTTCCCACAAGGTCACCACTCGCCTCAGGTTACAGGGATCGGGTGTCCATCCCTCACCACTGCAGAGCTGCCTGGGCAGGGAGGCCGAGCTGCCCACAGGCTGCCCCACAGCCGTGCTGCACTGACACAGCTCCACAGCCTCCAGCAGTCAGAGTCAGCTGACTGGAGACATTCCCCTGAAGGCATCTAGAACGTGTCAGCAGCCAAAGGACAGAGAGACCAGTGATACATCGCTGATGTTCAGCACTAGTGCATCAGAAGCTTTCTACATCCATGGGAGAGGAGCTGGCTGTGCCTCCAGCCCCAGGCACTGCCCCTAGGCCCAGCCTGTGGGATCTTCCAGGGCTCTTTCAGCTGCCCACTTTAGCACTGACATTTCCCTGTCCATTAGGAAATCTAGCTGAATCTCCTGTCCAAGCTCCTCTGGAGAGCCCTGCAAGAGCCAGCTATGTGACTGAGCCCACCAAAATGTGCAAACTCCACAGAAGTGCCATAAAAACAAACAGAGGAGCTAAGCCAGGCAGCAACGGAGGGGCCAGAAGGAGCGAGATGCCTGGATGCGTGTGGAACCAAGGAGTCCCTGACTGGAGAGGGTCTCTCCCAGCCCAGCTCTGGGGAGAACAGTGCCTGTTTTCTCCTTCTACATCTCCTCTCCCTGCACAATTTCAGACAAACTCCCCAGCAGCTGGGGTGGCAGAGAGGGTGCTCTGCCCACACCAAAATCTGGCCATGAGAAGTGGCTCAGAGCATCCAGGTGGGCACACAGAAGGGGCAGCTCTTCCTGACCCCAACCCACTGCAGCTCTCCAAGCACAGCATGTGCAGCTGCTGCCCCTAAGGCTTAGCAGCACCTGAGGCAGCTGTTACCTCAGGATGGTTTTGGGAGGTGACTTGGTCCGGCCCATGCACTCCAGGGCCACTGCGTAGGATTCCAGGTTGGGCCGGAGGCTGGAAGCCTCCAGGATGGAAAACAATCGCTCCAGGCGGTTCAAAGAGCCCTGCAGGTAGGAAAGGAAGGAGGCTGTGCTCACTGAGAAGGGAAGGAGGCTGTGTTACCTGAGAAGGGAAGGAGGCTGTGGACACTGACACCAGCAGCTCCAGAATCACAGCTCCATGCCCCTCTACTCCTGGATCAGATTTAGTCACACCTACCCTACCCTTTCCCCACTCCTTTCTTCCTCCCCAAGCCACCTCCCACAGATCTGTGTCCCCATGCCAGCTCAGTCCCCCTTGCCAGAAGCGCTGCTTGAACACTTGCTGAAGTGACAAGCACAGGTAAAACCAGCTGGAGGCAGTTCCTCACGGGCCAGCCCCTCTCCCACCCGGAGCAGCGCAGCTCGGTGTTACAGTGCATTTGGACATGCCTTTTCCCCATTCCCTGGGACCCCTGTGACTCTGATCAGATAACCCTGGACCCTCCTTCCTGCCCTGACAGGGTTGGTGGAGAGCCAAGGAGCCCTCCCTGTCCAGAGCCTGGATAAACCCCTGACATTTCCTGTTCGTGCTCTTTACCCCGCTCTCCCCATGGACATCACAGAATAAAGAGAGCTGCACCATCATACATCGGGGTAAGAGCCTCTTTTGGAAATCTTTGCCATCTCCTGATATTCCTCCCCTCAAAGCCTCGGAGCTCTGGGCTAGCCTGGCAATTTAGGGGCTGAGACGTGGGGAACATCAGCTCGGTACCTTCCTGGCCCAGATGCGCATGACGATGTTGAAGGCGCCGGTGTCCAGCAGCTTGCCCTTCACGGCAGAGCTGTGGCACAGCAGCAGGTACCGCTCGGCCTCCTCCGCCTGCTGCAGGAACAGGAAGCACTCCAGGTTGGACTGGATGGTCTGCTGCAGCGCCTGCTGGTTACTCTTGTCCTTTGGCATCCTCTGAGGCCTCTTCAGCTCTGCAGCCTCCTTCATCTCCCTGGGCTTGCTGTGAGGGCTGCCAGAGCTCTGGTTCCAAGCAGTGGCTGCTTTTGTCTTTGGGATCTTTGGGCTCTTCATGGTTTTTACTGGGGGTCTGGTCTCTGCCTTGACCTCCACCTTGGCCTGGCCCTCCAGAGCCAGGGAGGCAGCACTGGGCAATTCCTGCTTCATCTTCAGCTGCTGGCTATACATCTCCTTCTGCAACTTTTTGGCCCAGGTGTTGGACTGGGCCAGGCCATCACCTCTGGCAAGGGGCTGCTTCTCCTTGGGGCCAGGGACCACAGCCTCCTGGTACTTGTCATTGTCCAGTGCTGCCAGTTCCACTTTGCTGACCGTCACCTCTGGGACGTTACTGCCTTGCAGCTGCTTTGCTCGAGCTTTCAGCACTAGTGGGAAAGAGAGAGGTGATGGGAGATGAGGCACAACAAAAGGCTCTGTCCTGTCCTCACTCTGGAAGTACCAAGATCATGTTGAGAAAAAAGGGTTCACACAAGAACTTCATCCCTCCTTGGCCAGCCCTGCTCCAAAACAGAGATACCAACCTCTGTCTCTCTGAGATCTACCTGCAAGCTGGAGCCCACCTCAGCATCCCAGGAACCCAGCAGTGTCACTGCCAGGGAAAAAGCAACAGCCCAGGCTGGTCTGACTGCTGTCTCACCTTCCAGCAGCTCTGTCCTCTCACAGGTGCCACTTCTGTTCGCCTTCTCCTTGGTGCTGGCAGAGGAGTAGCTCCTGAAGATTCTCCATGGAATCCCTGCCAAGGAAGAACACAGAGGTGTGGGGGTCAGAGGAGGTTCACACCTTCACACATTCCCTGTCCCTTGCTCTGCCCCACGGCCCCAGCTGGACACAGCGTGGACAGAGTGAGCACGGGATGTTTCTCAGCAGCAGCACAGGAGGGCAGGAGGGACAGGGACAGCCCTGGAACCAGAGGCTCAGAAGGAACATGACCCAGGGACACCACAAAGCCAGCGCTGTCAGTGAGGTGGCAGCATCCCAAGACCCCCAGAGCAGGCGGGCGCTATCCCACAGCTGGGACAGACCCAGAGCCCCCAAATCAGCCCTTTGGAGAGCCACAACACCCCAGCACTCCCACAGCCCCGGCTCCACCCCTGGGGTACCCACGACGCAAAAAGACCCTTCCACCTTCCAGGTGATCCCACAGAGCGCTCAGCACCGTGGGACGTCCCGGCCCATCTCCGTCCGCACACTCGGGCCGTGTGCCGGTCTCCTCGTGTCCCCGCGGGTCCCTCATGCCCCCCGGTGCCCCCGTGTCCCCCCGGTGCCCGTTCCCGCTCACCGGGGCCCCGCAGCCCGCCCGGGCCCCTCAGCACCGCCCGCAGCCTCAGCAGCGCCATCCCCGGGCCACGCGCGCCGCCGCGCATGCGCCATGGCGCCGCGCCGCCGCGGGGCGCGCCGGGAGCGCGAGTCCCGCCGCTGCGGACTACAGCTCCCATGGGGCAGCGCGGCCGCGCCCCGCGCCCCCTGGCGGCCGCGGCGGCCCCGACGGGTGGGCTCGGGCGGGCGCGGATCGCGGGACGCGGATCCCGGGCGGCGGCGGAGCCCGGGGAACACGCGGAGCCCGGCTGACCCCGGCTCTCCGGACCGAGCTGGGCGTGTCTCCACCGTCTGACACCACCGTCCCCACGTCCCGGCCCACAGCAGCCCCGCGCCCTCCGTCTCTCCCCACGCTCTGAGCAGCGCTCGTCCCTTGCCCGCCCATCGCAGCTGACGGCGGATACCGGAGTGTGCGGTGCCCAACCGGGCGCCCCGCGGTCGTAAGCGAGTGACCGCGGCCGGTGACCCGGGACAGCCGTCGGGGCGCCGATTTATGAATGGGAGGCGCCGCCCCAGCCCCCGGCCCGCCCATTCGCCGCCGCCGCCCCGCCCCGGGCCGCCCATCGCTGACCGCTCGCGCCGTCGGGGCCGGTCGCCGGTCGCCGGTCGCCGCCGTGGCCATGGCCCATCGCCTGCTGCCCGCCTGTCGCCCGCCGCCCGTCGCCATGAGGCGCGGGGGCCCCGCCGCCATCGCCGCCTGCCTCGCCGGGGCACTCGCGGTGCTGGCGGGGCCGGGGCCGGGGCCGGGACCGGGGCCGGGACCGGGGCCGGGCAGTGCCACCGGCACCGGCCGGCGGCCCCCCCGCAGCTACGGGCATCTGGAGGGCGACGTGCGCTGGCGGCGGCTCTTCTCCGCCACCCGCTTCTTCCTGCGCATCGACGGCAGCGGCGGCGTGGAGGGGACGCGCTGGAGGGAGCGGCCGGGCAGTGAGTGGGGACGGACCGGGACCGGGACGGGGACGGGGACGGGGACGGGGGAGAGCCGGGATCCGGGGCCGTCCCCCGCCCACGACGGGCGAGGCGCGATCCCGCCGGCTGCCGGGGCTGCCGGGGCTGCGGCGGGCGCTGCTGGGGCTGGACCGGGGCGGAGGCTGGACGGAGGCGCCTCGGGCCGGCGACGGGAGCATTCCATGCCCGGCCCGGAGGGAGCCCGCAGCTCTTCCCTCCGGGAAATCGCAGCCAAAGTTCCCGGTCCTCCGGGGGCGCGGGAGCGGCGGGTCCCCGCTGTCCCCCGGCGCTCCGGGAGTGCAACCGGCGGCGGCTGCCCTCACCCCCGTCACTGCGCTGTGTGAGCCACGAGAGGGGCGCGGACACCGGCGAGCACTGCCCAGGGACCCGACGTTGCTTTCCCAGCGGCTGGGGTGTCCTAGGGGGTCTCTCAGGGGTCCCTTGTCCCATCTGGTCCTGCCAGTTCACGATGCCCCTCTGTCTCGCCTTCCTCATGGACTGGAGGATCTGATCGTTCCCCCACTAACACATTCGGGGGGAAAAAGGCTGAGGATGGGAGGGGGGGGATGCAGGAAGTTTTGCGGTGATGCTGGCACCAGAATGGGGCATCTGTCCAATTCCCGTCGGAGGGGACCATGGAGCAGCCGCTGCCTGCAGAGCAGGTTGGGACTCAAGACAGCTGGGTGGGCAGAGGGACAACATCCCCAAGGATGTGGCAGTCACCGTATGACTTCAGCAAGAGTCAGGGCTGCAAGTGCCCATCGGGGTGCAGCGCCCCAGCCCCTGGGACAGGGATGGGGGCACCAGGCTGGCAGGACAGTAGCTGCACAAGGAGGGGGATCTTGGAAAAGGGGATGCCTGATCATCCCCCAGATGCCCTGACGGGGTGTTGGGGTTTGGGGCAGGAGGGCTGCAGCAGCCCCAGCCCATGTCCTGGTCCAGCAGGGGCTGCCCTATCTCCCAGCAGCCACAGGACACGGGAGCCAAGCCCAGCCCAGGGAACCCTGCTGTGGTGTCGGAGGCTGTCGGGAGTCCCGAACAGGCACGCTGCCAGCACAAAGCACCTCAACACGTTCCCTCGATGGTGTGGCCATGGGACCTGGCAGGCAGAGCAGCTCCGGGCTGTACATGAGGCTCGCTCTGCTTATCTGTGTACGCCTGGGCTGGGCGCGGGCTCTGCTCCACAGCCCTCGCAGAAGCTGCCGGACCAGCCCCACTGGCAGCTCTAGGGTGGCGGGGCATCTTCCAGGGACTCCCCCACCTCAAGCCCTGCCTCTGCCCCAGCCTCCTCGAGACCCCTCTGGGGTGAGTGTGAGACTGGGAGCACTGGGAGCTGGCTCTGGCCAGGTACTGGCCAGGCACCTGCAAACAAAGGGCGGCAGGGCCGGCCCGAGCACTGGGGACAGAAGGGGGTTATTTTTAGAAAAGTGCAAGTCCTTATAAATAGCTGCAGCTTCAGACGGTGATCAAGTGGGACGGATTCACAAGCATTTGCTCAGCCCTTCCCCTCCACAGCCTGAAGCAGCTGGGCTGAAAAAATCCCGGGGGAGCCCTGACAGTGCCCCAGTGCTGTATCCACCCTGTCCGCCCCCAGCCTCCCGCAGGCAGGGATGCCCGGGGAATGCCAACAATGCCAACCAACAACTGATGAAAGCCCTTGCCCAGGGGCTGCAGCCCCCATGCTGTCTGTCGTCCTCCCACGCTGTCCAGCCCGTGCACCGGTGCCCAGTGGCAGATCCTGCCGTGCTCCAGCCCTTCCTGCTGCCCTGCCCAGGACTGGACATTCCTTCTCCCCTTCCCACTGTGCGGTGTTCCTGGCGGGCGGCGGGGCGGGCAGCGGCGCTCCGGGCTGGCCGGCATGAGGCAGTGCAGGAATCCAGAGGCCCCGATGATGCTCTGGGTGTTTCCCGTGCCAGAGCCGCTGGTCTGACCACATGCCTTTCCCATTAGCGGCCGAGCCGGAGCTCGGCGGTCGGGGCACACACACGCCAGCCCAGCTGTGGCTTCACAGCCCGGCTGCAGCCGCCCCCCCGGGCTCATCCTCGTGTCCTGCAGTGCTCCTTCGCCTGCCAGCCCACAGTGCTGGGCACGGGGCCGCTTGTCATCGCTTGTGCCACCAGGAAATCAGGCATCCACGGATGGCACTGACCTGGGCTACTGCTCCCGCAGAGCTCTGCCTGCGTGCCTTTGTCCACCATAACACGACGTGTGTTGTCGCTGCCACCCCCACGCACACTTGGCCCTTTCAAGAGCCACGCCAGCCTCAGAGCCCTGCGTGTGCCAGGGCTGGGCGCTGGGGAGGCGGGTCAGGTCCCCGGGGCACTGCGGGCACGCTGGGGATGGATGAACGGGCAGAGCTGCCAGTGAGGGGAGGGCACACACGAGGTTGTGCTTGGCATCGCTCCCGCACAGCCCCGCTTCTGGGAAGTGGCTGGACCCTGGGGAGGAGAGGAGTAAAGATCAAACCTTCCTTGGATCAGAGCTTCCCCCTCCCACTGCCAGCTTGGGCTGCAGCCCTCGTTCCTCTGGCTGCTCTGGCTCTGGCTGAGGATCAGCACCTCCCTCCCTCTGGAGGGACTCTGTAGCTATAGAAGCAGCATTGGGGCAGGGCCCCTCAGGGAGGTTGCCCGTCCCTCCCTGGCTCATGCCGTGCTTCCCTGTCCCGCAGGCATCGTGGAGATCCGGTCGGTGCGTGTCGGCGTCGTGGCCATCCGGGCGGTGCACACCGGCTTCTACCTGGCCATGAACAAGCGGGGGAGGCTCTACGGGTCGGTAGGTCGGACGCTGCCTCCTGGGAGGGACTGCACCAGAGTCAGAGGCTCAGGGCAGAGTTGGAACAGGCTCCTGGTGTCCCGTGCCCTGACCTGCTCCCCAGCAGGGGACTGCACCCACCAAGCCCCTCTGCCCCATGGGGACCAGAGAGGAACCGGGGTCCTGCCCTGCCCAACTCTCGGGGTCCGAGGGGCTCCAGCTGAGCATAGCCACCCCTCACTCCCTTCCCTCTCCTGCCAGAAGGAGTTCAGCTCCAACTGCAAGTTCACGGAGCGCATCGAAGAGAACGGCTACAACACCTACGCGTCGCTGCGCTGGCGGCACCGCGGCCGCCCCATGTTCCTCTCGCTCAATAGCAAGGGCAGGCCACAGCGAGGGGGCAAGACACGCCGGCAGCACCTCTCCACACACTTCCTCCCCATGCTCGTCAGCTGAACACCGTGGGCAGCTCCAGACGGTCCTGTAGGAAAAAAGAACCAAAGAAAAAAATGTTGTTTTATTTATGTACATATCTATTTTTTGCTATTTATTGCTTTATTTTTAATGCATGGCAGAGGAGGGATATGGAAGGCAGATGCTCCAGACTCGGCCGTGCGGGGCTGTGGCTCTCCTACTGTTCCCAAATTTGCTCTAAACCAGGACACCCCGGCACAGAGCTGGTGTGGTGGAGCCAGGGAGCATGACTGGAGCAGGGGCCAGGATCTGCTACTGGCATCTCTGCAGGGCTGGGATGTACCAGCAGGTTGTCTGTGTCTGAGCTTCCGTGGCAATTAAAGCTGTGTTCATGGTATGGAACAGGAGCAGTTCTTGGAGCTTTGATGGTGAACTTGGCTTGGGATGGGAGGGATTGGCTCCTGTGTGGTTGTGGCTGCAGCCACCAGTGTCATCTCTGCTGCCACTGGCAGGGAGCCCAGCTGGTCCTTTGCCACATCCAGGTCTTCATTGACCCCCATCCACCCTGCAGGAAAACAGCCATGGTGGTTCACTGGCACAAACGAGGGAGCAGGAGGAGCAGGAGCCAGCCCAGATCCTCAGGCAGACAGCTCTGGGGCTGCCCCTGGCCACAGCCAGTGCCAGTCAGTCCTGCAGCCCATCTCCACATCCTCATCCCCAACAAAAACACAGCTGGGACAGTGGTGAGGGCAGCATGGCCAGGAATAGCACCTGCACCTCAGCCTCCTGGCCAGGGTACATCCCTGCGCCACCTCATGCCCGCTGTGGCCAGGCCCAGCATCCCGGTCACTGTCACGTCAGACAGAGCAATGGCCCCAGCAAAAACCACCAAACTCGTTCCATTTCTGACCCAACCAGCTCCAAATGAGTGCGAGAGGGAACAGCCACTGTATTAACCATGTGGTGACTGTGGTGAGCCCCTGCCAGGTGGGCAGCAGCTGCCACGCACCCACCCAGGACTTTGCTCGGCCCACTGAGCCATCTGAGCACTGCTCACACATGAGAAATCATTCCCAAGTGCCTGGGGGAGTCAGAACCCAATCACAGCTGAAAGAGTGGGAGAGGGAAGGTGTTTCCAGGTCTCTTGTTTGGTGACTAAACAGCAAAGCCTCTCCTCGGTGTCGGGTCAGCCAATGGACACGTGCAGGTTCAGCCAGGACCTTCTTGCTGCCACCCACCTCACCAGCCCAGGCTTCTGGCTCAACCCCTGGCAGAGGATGAGCCATTAACCCCGACACACCAGTCCCGAGATAAACCCTCCTGTGAGATGAAAGGCACCGCCACACTGCCCGGCCAAGCCGAGGAAGAAAAACAGTCCGGACAAGTCGCTCCCTGCCAGCCCCCGGCCCTGGCACAGCTGGTGACACTTCCTCCAACAAACCAACCTCACGCGTTCTGAAATGGCCCAAGAAGGACCAAAGCATCCTTCCCCCTCCTAAAAGAGGTTCGTATCTTCTCAGGAAGCTCATGGAAGAGCCAGGTCCTGGGGTGATGCTGCTTTAGAAAAGACATCCAAGTTCTGCTGGAGCCAGCAGCATCCCCAGCAGCACCAGCCCACTCCCAGGGCCCCAAAAGCCAAGGGAGAGGCAGGAACCCCCCAAACTGTCAAACCCTCCACCCACCTCCCTGGCAGCTCCACGGGGGCAGGTTCACCCTTGTCTGCTCTGGCCTCTGCCACAGAGCAGTCCCAACATGTGGCACCATCACGGACCCCCAGCCCTCTAGGAAACCTCCTGACCACCTCAAATCCCTGAGAGGGGAAGGGGGTCCCAGTGACGGATGGTGAGAGCTTCTCCTCTCATGCCTCAGGGCCCAGGAAGCAGGGACATGGCAGGGAGTCACTGCCTGCTCTGATGACATTCTTGTCATTCTCCAAACTCCAGCTCTGTCACAGAAACTGAGTCACAAACATACCTGGATATTTTTCTCTCTCCTTGTTTTAATCAGCTCTATTTTAAGTAGCTTTGCAATACATTTTTTTTTTTTTTTTAATCTCCAAAATGTTGTTTTCCTGGTAATTACTCGGTCACAATGAGATTTGCTGGTCCTCGTTCTGCTGCACACCCAGTCCTGTGTCGGCCCAGCAGAACAGCCTGCCCCGGCTGCGAGGGGGGCAGGACTGCAGGGGGAAGGTGTAAAAAATAGAAAACACCAGGCGAGGATGCTTCCACCTGCGATCCTTGGCTACCTGTGCAGTGATCCACAGGCTGGCAGTGGCTCCCACTGGAACTCCCAGCACGCAGGAGGGCTCAGAGAGGCCCAGCCTGTCTGGGGAAGGCAGGACAGCTTGGTGGCCTCAGAGCTTACCCTGTAGCTTTCCTCAAATCATGCATAATGGCTCGCAGAGCTGAAATGTCCATTTATTGACAACAGTAATAATTTAAGATTATAAAAACCCCTTTCAGTGTTGAGTATCAGCGGGCGAGGTTATAAAGAGAAATAAAAGGGACTTGAGATGGGCCAGGGAAGGATCCCGGGGTCTACTTGAGAGTTCCTGTTTCAGTGGCAGCTATTGGTCCTCCCCAGATGGTGATCCTGGGGGGAGGCAGCATCCTTATACTTCCATTTTAGACGTCAATCTCCAAAGCAGAAAAGATAGTATCCAAGGGGAGGAGGAGCAAAAGAAATAAAAGAAAGGGATCTCAAATTCAAACCCATACAAACAACATTTCCATTCGGGATTCAACCACTCGCTCAGCACCTCGGGGTTCCCAGCCGGGGAGCGCAGCAGCCTCGCACTGCAATGGGTAAAGTCCACGCAAAGAGGATGTTTTTATTGACAGACAGAGCTCTTTCCCCCCTTTTTCATCACAGAACTTGAGGCTTCTCATCTCTGAAGGACCCAGAGTCTCCGTGTCTTCAGAAATCAAAAGGAAATTCTGGGGGCACTGCTCCTGCCTCGTCCCCTCCCCTCGCTCTGCTCTGGAAGCCCCTTTGGCTGCTCGTGGTGGCCAGGGAGAGAGGGGGAACAGTGGAAGGGCCCCGGGGACAGAGGGTGCGTTAAGATTCATGAGTTGTTCGATGAGTTTTCATTACTTGGTGAGCTTGAGGAAGAGGAGGAGGAGGAGGATGACGAGAAGTTCATCCCTGTGAGTCCTGGGGGGTTTGTGGCAGTGTTTTGTCCACTTAAACTTTTCCGGCAGACGGGACACGTGTCATGCTTTGGGGAGCAGACAAAAAACAAAACAAGAAATACGGGAAACGGGATTAGAAACACAACAGGGGAGCAGCACTGGAAGAATGGGCTGGGATGACACTCCATCCTCTGACCACAGGCTGCTTGTGCTCAGGCCTCATCATGGAGGTAGGAAAATATTTACAGAGGGGAGCAGGACCAGACAAAGCCCCCAGTGCTGCAGTGCCCCGCACTCACCTGCTCCAGCCACGGGACGATGCAGCCGTCGTGGAACAGGTGATTGCACGGTAACTGCCGCACGTTCTCCCCCACTGTGTAGTCTTCCTTACACACAGGGCACTCCAACCCGGAATCTGCACACATAGGGAAAGCCAAGCAAAGCCAGCTGAGCAAAGGAGGAGAGCACGACACGCAAAGCCCCCCACTCAGGGCTCATCATCCCTCTCCCCTTCCCCATCACTGCATCCCTGTCAGGAGGAATGCTTGGTGCTCTGCAGCCCCCACACCATCACTCTACCTTCCCCTACCCAGGGTATGCCTCATCCTTCCCTTCTGCTTTTCCATCTCTATCCACACTGAACTTCTCACAATCTCCCCAGGGCAAATCCATCCAGCCTCCACTGCTCTTTTTTTGTGTAACAGAGCCCCTTCAGCTTTCTGCCCACTTTGAAATGTTTTATGCCTCAGAGGTATGAACAAAATTCAAGTCCCAAGAAAACATTACAGACAGTTCCAGTGAGCACCCTGTGCACAATTCCATGGAGCAGACACCTACCTACGTGCTCCTGTGTGATCTGTATGGTGGGGAGGGCCTGGATCTTCTCTTTGTCCGCTGGCGGCGGTCCAGTGTTTTCAAACTGATTCAGTAACTGGAAAAACAACCAGCCAGGCAGGCAGAAGAGAGAGGTGAGCTCAGCAGCACACAGAATCCACTCATTTCCTGAGCCAGGGCACCTGGACCCCGCACTGTGGACCCCTTCCCATTTCAGTCCCACAGCCCCTCATTCCCTGCAGCAGCACAGGTGCTGCCCCTCCTGCAGCACTGCACAGGAGGATGCAGACTGTGGTGAATCCCAGTTTTACCTGTGTGATAATCGCATCCAGTCCGTTGGCACCCCAGGCGTAGTCCATCGGATTTGAGTGCAGGACTCCCCTGAAGAGCAAGGACAGCAAATGAGTTCATCCTGGAGCACCAACGAGATACTGTCAGAGAGAGCAGCACATCCTCCAACTCACCAAGGGCCCAGGCCTAGGTTTGGAATTGTGGTCGGTGCAATAATTCCATTGACCAGCTGCTGGATAATTCTGAAAGACAAGAAAACCAGGATTGTTTAAGAATTAAAGTTTGCTGGCTCCCAGCCCAGCACTCCAGCACGGAGAGAGAGATTGAGTAAGCTAAATACTACACATTGTTGGGGGCAATTAAAAATACCCTACAGCAATTGCAATGGCAGCTATGGGAGTGATCAGCCACTGATAAAGTTTCAGTATTTGATTCATAAGGGGACAATTCCTGACACGATGAACGGCTCCCAGGACGCACTTACAAAAACACAGTCTGTTGTTCTCTTCTGCTTCCCCTCAGAGCAAGTACTACATTTTTGCAACACCTGGCAATGACCAGGGAATATTTTCCCACTACAGAATAAACTCCCAAGCACAGTCCACGTCACCACTCAGCTGAAACAACCCCAACAGATCCCAAGAAGGAGCTGCCAACAGGCTCAGGTGGGACACAGATGACAGAGCTTTGGGATGCTGCTCCCGTAAGCCAGGAGAAAAGGTGAGAAACAACAGCTGGCAGAGAGCCAGGGAAGCCCACCCTGTCCCAAGTCTATACAGACCCCTGACATTTCCTGTTTGTTCTCTTCTGCCCTGCTCTCCCCATGGACATCACAGAATAAAGAGAGCTGAACCAACATAT